GGACTGCCTCCTCCGGCGGCACTTCAGCTATGGCCGATCGGCCCTGCACACATCGCGCGCATGGGACAGCGGGTACCCGCTCTGATACCAGTGCAATCAGACTCGACTTCTTCACACTTGTCATGCATGCAAACAGCGAAACAGCAAACTGGCGACATGCGCCCACACAGTAGTCAAAGATATTGTAACCAGGTAGCAGTTCCCTTCAAACTGGCTATGGCGACTGAGCGCCCACACAACTCACTGTTCGCACTCTGGATCACCCTGGATGTCCCACACGCAACACTCTACACGCAACACACACACACACACACACTACTATAGCTATGGCAGCTATGGCTGCCACTACCCTATCGCTACACTACACTTCACTGCCCTCTTCGTCTTCGGGCGCACTGCAGACCTCCCCGCACAAGCTGCTGAGGCAGCGCTTCCGCATGGCATCCGCAGGAATGAATGAATGGCTGGACGCAGCCTCTTGATTTATACTTCTGTGCGGCGTTGGTCTGCCCTGTATCCCTTGGCCCGCGATGTGCACAGTCCCAGACGGTACTTGCTTGACTGGACCGGACTGGACTACCTGGGACTGCTGACTCTACATAGTGGACCTACACCACTTGCCCACTTGCCTCGGCCTAAACARGGGCTGACTCCGAAAGGCCAGTTCTAGAAACTTCTACTTTGGCCTTTCGGTACTGTAGCAGCTACGACTTTGCCCTTTCTAGTAAGTAGCAGCTACGACCTTGACCCTTCAGACATCCTACAGCTACGACTTCGGAACTGTCTAGACTCCTACCCTACAGGTCTACAGTTCGATTCCCTTCTAAGCTGTGACCTACGACAATCTACCTGTCACTGGCGTTTCGACAGGTCGCAGGTTCAAATCTACGGGTTGTCATCAATACTGTACACAGGTAAGATGGGGAACTAGGGATCGAGCCCGGGGATCTGCATTTGCTACTGCGAACTGGTGAATACTGTTTCATTATTATTTGTTGAAGAATAAGCTTGGGGGAGATAAGAAGGTTGGAGGGAGTGGCGAGAGAAGGGGGAGTTGTTATTGGTCTTTTGCTGGTGTACATCTTTTTCTTCTTTCTGCTAGGAAAATGAGAGATAGCGAGATGACAGAATCCAGGTAGCACAATCGCATTGAAAGCAAGAAAGTCCCACAGTGTCCAGTTAAGCAGCATTGCACCAATATTACGCCAATGGAGAATCGAAACACTGAAACCGAATATCAATGAGAGCTTTTCTCTCGTCCGCACCAACATACGTATCCAGGCCCTCTCTCCCTACTTGGCACTCGGCGCCCAGGCTACTCCCTACACAGCTACTTCCTGCCTATGTATTGACAATGCAACTGTTGATGTTAGCAGCCACCAAAGTACTTGAAGATGTCGACCAATGCAGACCATCGCCAATACCAGGTAACGCCCTCACATCATCATCCTCATCTCTTTCGCTCTCCCCCTATCCTTGTCTTCCTCCCTTATGCACGAAGACCACCACCACCTCCACTGGCTGTCCAAGCCCAGCCCTGGCTATGTAAGGCTGGCTATGGCGCTGCCCTGAGCAGCGCCCTGCCTTCTTCCAGCGCCCGTGCGCACTGCCTGGCAACTAGCGCTAGTGCCCAGCGCACAGCCCGGGAGTGCACACTCGAGAAGCGCTGCCGCATGCACTGCCTAGTGCCCCAATGCCTCCACCAGTGGCGAGCTCTTTCCGTTATGGAAAGTGCTCGCCCAGTCTGCTCCCTGGCTGGGCCTCGTGTATTTCCAGTAGCTTCCAATCCGGCGAAAGTGTCTGTGTCAGGCCCATTCAGAGAGTGGCCTGGGACCGAATTGGTTGAGCCTGCCTAACCACCCAGGAGTAAACGTGAGGTCCTCCCTGCTTCGCCTGTGCTGCTGGAAGAGCCTAGAAGGCTCAAGAATTATTTCTGATTCTCACGAGTGTGGAGGACGTAACCAACTGGCGCATGGCAACTGTCTGGCGCCCACCAAACTTAGCCAAGATTGACGAACTCAGGCCATATTGAAATTCAGGGGCCCGCCTTCACTTAGGGCGGGCTCATGCTCTCTGAAAGGGCCATCCAGGGGCATGTCGAGAAGCACACTCGTAGCAAGGCCTCATCGAAGATCCATGCCCACATAGGGGTTCCAACAGGCTCTGCTTAGGCCCCTCAACCTGGTCTCATAGGCCTAAAAACAAGCATTGGCACATATTTGCAGGCCCGCCTTCACTTAGGGCGGGCACGACATCTTTCAGACACTGCCGAGGATCTAAATCCTCGCATTTCTTTCTTCTTCTTCTTCTTCTTCTTCTTCTTCTTCTTCTTCTTCTTCCTTTGTCTCTTTCTGTTTCCAAGATTTTTAATTTCTGTTGCAATTGAACGGCATTGTCTTTCCTTGTGTATTTACACTTCCGAATAACCAGGATTATAACACAGACAATCTACAGGATCTTCCAATGGCCATGTAGCTGGCCTTATGTCCAGGCTTTGAGAGATGCCAGCACCTCAAACCTTATGTCCAGGCTTTGAAGCATGCGTAGACTGAGAGGGATTCAAGAAGGTAATAGGACTCACTTGCCAGTCAATCGTAATCAACGCTGACCGGGGATTCCTTTGGCAGAAATGGAAGAAAGGGTTTGGTGTGGGTTCTATGTAAAATCTTTACTCTCCGGTGGACAAGGATATTGGGTATTATTGGGGAAAAAAAAGAAAAACTCATTTCTGTGTATCTTCCAGGTGACTGAACGGTGTACACTACTACACACCTAAAACTGGCAGGCTATGTACATGTTTAGAACTGGCAATAGCCAGGACAAAAGTTTTAAGTCCTGCTGGGAACAGCAATACTAGGAGCTAACCCCCCTTTTAGGCAGAAAGGAAGAGAATAGTATTTCTGCACCAGAGACGGACAATTCCGTGGGGAATCTGGGGTACTCTAAGGGACAGCAATTTTCAGATCCCTGAAAATTTGCCTGGGATTCAGCGCTCCAGTTTTTCTGCAAATTTTAAATTACAACCAAACTTGTTCTTATTGCCCCTTCTACCTGATATGCGTGAAGTTGTCAGGAACACACTCAGAGAAGAACATAAGGGTTGCTTAAGAGGTCCTGGTCGCAGGCAACTCTCTGCGAACAACAAATGCTGTTCTAGACTGTCTTAGGTTGCAGGCTAGAGTTTGTCTGTAGTCAGTGCGATCAACAAATGTCGTTCTAGTTGCAGGCTAGAGTTCAGTAGAGCTGGGGTTGCTGTAGAGAGCTAAAGGAACTGAGCGTGATCTTACGTTCCTGCAGCTCAGGCAGGAGCCCGCACAAACTAGAGATGGAGCGGCCTGTCTATACTAACATGTCAGCAGGGAATCCCATTGTCCTGCCCAGTTCCTGTCTCATAGGCTTCTCTCTCTCTCTCTCTCTCTCTCTCTCTCTCTCTCTCTCTCTCTCT